CTGTCTGCAGTCTCTGACCATCTCTCGTAGCCTGTCTACAGTCTCTGACCATCTCTCGTAGCCTGTCTACAGTCTCTGACCATCTCTCGTAGCCTGCCTGCAGTCTCTGACCATCTCTGGTAGCCTGCCTACACTCTCTGACCATCTCTCGTAGCCTGCCTGCAGTCTCTGACCATCACTCGTAGCCTGTCTACAGTCTCTGACCATCTCTCGTAGCCTGTCTGCAGTCTCTGACCATCTCCGGTAGCCTGCCTGCAGTCTCTGACTATCTCTTGTAGCCTGCCTGCAGTCTCTGACTATGTCTCGTAGCCTGTCTGCACTCTCTGACCATCTCTCGTAGCCTGCCTGCACTCTCTGACCATCTCTCGTAGCCTGTCTGCAGTCTCTGACCATCTCTCGTAGCCTGTCTGCAGTCTCTGACCATCTCTCGTAGCCTGTCTACAGTCTCTGACCATCTCTCGTAGCCTGTCTACAGTCTCTGACCATCTCTCGTAGCCTGCCTGCAGTCTCTGACCATCTCTCGTAGCCTGCCTGCTGTCTCTGACCATCTCTCGTAGCCTGTCTGCAGTCTCTGACCATCTCTCGTAGCCTGTCTGCAGTCTCTGACCATCTCTCGTAGCCTGCCTGCAGTCTCTGACCATCTCTCGTAGCCTGTCTGCATCTCTTGCATGGCGACAGGAAGTGAAAGAAAACCTCCCCCATGGGGTCACCGACAGAAATGAGGTGGTAACAAAAATGTGAACTGTTTCCCGCCATATGAAAAACTAAAACAGCAGGCCACGGAGGACACGGCGATTGTGAGGTAACGTCACCCGCTGTGGGCGGCATCGCTGATAGTTTCCTCCTTCATAGAGAAGATGGGAGGAGCCAATATCTGGGTGGCATACCTGGGGTCCGCTATGTTTGTGATGTCGTTTTCCACTTGCTGCTTGGAGGCTATTACTAGGCCGGCATCCTGACAGGCCCGGGTGGCATTCTCATATGAAGGGACTCGGTCCACTCCTATAACAGTGACATTTTCTTCTGAACCTGAGAAAACACAATGAAAGGAAACAGTCAGCCCGGGAAAATCTTATAAACTAAGTCTCCCTCTCTTCTGCATGAAGTGATCCCGTGCAAGATAAACGGCAGCGGCGTAACAATCGCCATAGCGACTAGGGTTGCCACCTTTTCTTAAAGCGAAACCCGAACACTCTAGCGGCACACAGACATATTTTTCGGGGAGAATGAGTCGCGGCTTATTCATACTGTATGTAATGAGCATCTCCCATTAATATGTAAATATCACAGTTGAGACTATTTTCAGTGGGGGGCCAGTAGCCCCTATCTTAATATTGGTTGCCTCTGTCTGCCTGACATCTTGTGTCCGGGTTCCTGGTTCCATGAAACCCGGACACAGCATTCAAAAGCCCGAACTGTCCGGGTGAATCCTGGACAGGTGGCAACCCTAATAGCGACCCATGTGGCCGCTATGGGGCCCGGGGCACAGGGGGGCCCGGCCAGAACATCCCCATGATGCCGTGCGGGCCGCCTGGGTCGCTATGGCATCGCAGGCTGCTGGCTGTCACTGGCGGCTGTGAGGAGGAACGCGCCGCTGTTCACATCACTGACAACAGGTCATTGATCTGCGCAGCGTCGCGTTCCTCCTCGAGTCAGTGACAGCCAGCAGCTGCGGAGGAGGAGGAAGGATCAATGGGACAACCTGACAGAAGTTAGAACCTTCCATTAGTCTAACCAACCCAAACAAAAAAAGGTTGGGCCGCAGTACGCGGTGCGTGTAAGGGCTCCCGCGGGAAAACGGAGCGGAGTGTGGGGATGGGAAGTATAAGCAGCTGTGTGGGCCAGGAGTAAAGTGTACCTGTGTACTGTGTGGGCCAGCAGTAACGTGTACCTGTGTACTCTGTGGGCCAGCAATAAAGTGTACCTGTGTGCTGTGTGGGCCAGCAGAAAAGTGTACCTGTGTGCTGTGTGGGCCAGCAGAAAAGTGTACCTGTGTGCTGTGTGGGCCAGCAGAAAAGTGTACCTGTGTGCTGTGTGGGCCAGCAGAAAAGTGTACCTGTGTGCTGTGTGGGCCAGCAGAAAAGTGTACCTGTGTGCTGTGTGGGCCAGCAGAAAAGTGTACCTGTGTGCTGTGTGGGCCAGCAGAAAAGTGTACCTGTGTGCTGTGTGGGCCAGCAGAAAAGTGTACCTGTGTGCTGTGTGGGCCAGCAGAAAAGTGTACCTGTGTGCTGTGTGGGCCAGCAGAAAAGTGTACCTGTGTGCTGTGTGGGCCAGCAGAAAAGTGTACCTGTGTGCTGTGTGGGCCAGCAGAAAAGTGTACCTGTGTGCTGTGTGGGCCAGCAGAAAAGTGTACCTGTGTGCTGTGTGGGCCAGCAGAAAAGTGTACCTGTGTGCTGTGTGGGCCAGCAGAAAAGTGTACCTGTGTGCTGTGTGGGCCAGCAGAAAAGTGTACCTGTGTGCTGTGTGGGCCAGCAGAAAAGTGTACCTGTGTGCTGTGTGGGCCAGCAGAAAAGTGTACCTGTGTGCTGTGTGGGCCAGCAGAAAAGTGTACCTGTGTGCTGTGTGGGCCAGCAGAAAAGTGTACCTGTGTGCTGTGTGGGCCAGCAGAAAAGTGTACCTGTGTGCTGTGTGGGCCAGCAGAAAAGTGTACCTGTGTGCTGTGTGGGCCAGCAGAAAAGTGTACCTGTGTGCTGTGTGGGCCAGCAGAAAAGTGTACCTGTGTGCTGTGTGGGCCAGCAGAAAAGTGTACCTGTGTGCTGTGTGGGCCAGCAGAAAAGTGTACCTGTGTGCTGTGTGGGCCAGCAGAAAAGTGTACCTGTGTGCTGTGTGGGCCAGCAGAAAAGTGTACCTGTGTGCTGTGTGGGCCAGCAGAAAAGTGTACCTGTGTGCTGTGTGGGCCAGCAGAAAAGTGTACCTGTGTGCTGTGTGGGCCAGCAGAAAAGTGTACCTGTGTGCTGTGTGGGCCAGCAGAAAAGTGTACCTGTGTGCTGTGTGGGCCAGCAGAAAAGTGTACCTGTGTGCTGTGTGGGCCAGCAGAAAAGTGTACCTGTGTGCTGTGTGGGCCAGCAGAAAAGTGTACCTGTGTGCTGTGTGGGCCAGCAGAAAAGTGTACCTGTGTGCTGTGTGGGCCAGCAGAAAAGTGTACCTGTGTGCTGTGTGGGCCAGCAGAAAAGTGTACCTGTGTGCTGTGTGGGCCAGCAGAAAAGTGTACCTGTGTGCTGTGTGGGCCAGCAGAAAAGTGTACCTGTGTGCTGTGTGGGCCAGCAGAAAAGTGTACCTGTGTGCTGTGTGGGCCAGCAGAAAAGTGTACCTGTGTGCTGTGTGGGCCAGCAGAAAAGTGTACCTGTGTGCTGTGTGGGCCAGCAGAAAAGTGTACCTGTGTGCTGTGTGGGCCAGCAGAAAAGTGTACCTGTGTGCTGTGTGGGCCAGCAGAAAAGTGTACCTGTGTGCTGTGTGGGCCAGCAGAAAAGTGTACCTGTGTGCTGTGTGGGCCAGCAGAAAAGTGTACCTGTGTGCTGTGTGGGCCAGCAGAAAAGTGTACCTGTGTGCTGTGTGGGCCAGCAGAAAAGTGTACCTGTGTGCTGTGTGGGCCAGCAGAAAAGTGTACCTGTGTGCTGTGTGGGCCAGCAGAAAAGTGTACCTGTGTGCTGTGTGGGCCAGCAGAAAAGTGTACCTGTGTGCTGTGTGGGCCAGCAGAAAAGTGTACCTGTGTGCTGTGTGGGCCAGCAGAAAAGTGTACCTGTGTGCTGTGTGGGCCAGCAGAAAAGTGTACCTGTGTGCTGTGTGGGCCAGCAGAAAAGTGTACCTGTGTGCTGTGTGGGCCAGCAGAAAAGTGTACCTGTGTGCTGTGTGGGCCAGCAGAAAAGTGTACCTGTGTGCTGTGTGGGCCAGCAGAAAAGTGTACCTGTGTGCTGTGTGGGCCAGCAGAAAAGTGTACCTGTGTGCTGTGTGGGCCAGCAGAAAAGTGTACCTGTGTGCTGTGTGGGCCAGCAGAAAAGTGTACCTGTGTGCTGTGTGGGCCAGCAGAAAAGTGTACCTGTGTGCTGTGTGGGCCAGCAGAAAAGTGTACCTGTGTGCTGTGTGGGCCAGCAGAAAAGTGTACCTGTGTGCTGTGTGGGCCAGCAGAAAAGTGTACCTGTGTGCTGTGTGGGCCAGCAGAAAAGTGTACCTGTGTGCTGTGTGGGCCAGCAGAAAAGTGTACCTGTGTGCTGTGTGGGCCAGCAGAAAAGTGTACCTGTGTGCTGTGTGGGCCAGCAGAAAAGTGTACCTGTGTGCTGTGTGGGCCAGCAGAAAAGTGTACCTGTGTGCTGTGTGGGCCAGCAGAAAAGTGTACCTGTGTGCTGTGTGGGCCAGCAGAAAAGTGTACCTGTGTGCTGTGTGGGCCAGCAGAAAAGTGTACCTGTGTGCTGTGTGGGCCAGCAGAAAAGTGTACCTGTGTGCTGTGTGGGCCAGCAGAAAAGTGTACCTGTGTGCTGTGTGGGCCAGCAGAAAAGTGTACCTGTGTGCTGTGTGGGCCAGCAGAAAAGTGTACCTGTGTGCTGTGTGGGCCAGCAGAAAAGTGTACCTGTGTGCTGTGTGGGCCAGCAGAAAAGTGTACCTGTGTGCTGTGTGGGCCAGCAGAAAAGTGTACCTGTGTGCTGTGTGGGCCAGCAGAAAAGTGTACCTGTGTGCTGTGTGGGCCAGCAGAAAAGTGTACCTGTGTGCTGTGTGGGCCAGCAGAAAAGTGTACCTGTGTGCTGTGTGGGCCAGCAGAAAAGTGTACCTGTGTGCTGTGTGGGCCAGCAGAAAAGTGTACCTGTGTGCTGTGTGGGCCAGCAGAAAAGTGTACCTGTGTGCTGTGTGGGCCAGCAGAAAAGTGTACCTGTGTGCTGTGTGGGCCAGCAGAAAAGTGTACCTGTGTGCTGTGTGGGCCAGCAGAAAAGTGTACCTGTGTGCTGTGTGGGCCAGCAGAAAAGTGTACCTGTGTGCTGTGTGGGCCAGCAGAAAAGTGTACCTGTGTGCTGTGTGGGCCAGCAGAAAAGTGTACCTGTGTGCTGTGTGGGCCAGCAGAAAAGTGTACCTGTGTGCTGTGTGGGCCAGCAGAAAAGTGTACCTGTGTGCTGTGTGGGCCAGCAGAAAAGTGTACCTGTGTGCTGTGTGGGCCAGCAGAAAAGTGTACCTGTGTGCTGTGTGGGCCAGCAGAAAAGTGTACCTGTGTGCTGTGTGGGCCAGCAGAAAAGTGTACCTGTGTGCTGTGTGGGCCAGCAGAAAAGTGTACCTGTGTGCTGTGTGGGCCAGCAGAAAAGTGTACCTGTGTACTGTGTGGGCCAGCAGTAAAGTGTACCTGTGGCTTTGCCCAGCATAGGTTAGCAGCTCGTCCGCCCGTTTCTACAAAAACTCACCTGATCCACTGACACAGAAAGCTGAGCGTATGCTCGGACAGTCTTTTATCAATATTCCCATGCTGTAGCCAGCGCAGGGAAGGAAGGGGGTCAGCCGCAGCATGACCTGCCGATGATCATCTATCCAGCCCCACCTGCGTGAAAGAGAAATCAATACATTTTATTAGCGTCCCTCCATTCTGTGTATGCCAAAGTATTGGTATTCCTGCCCATCCAGTTCTGAGGAGACCTGATATTTCTCTTCTGCAGCTAAGTCACACTTACAGGTCTTCTTCCCTCCCCCTAGGCTGTGACTAGACAGTGAAAGGAGAAGCAGCACAGTGATGAGCTCATCTATCTGCTCTCTCCTCCAGTCAGCATGTTTTTTTTGTTAGTACTTGGGCGCTGCAGCACAACTTATTGGCTTCTTGTGCTGCTTCCCCCCTCTCCCACTCTGATCTCTGCTGCACAGGAAGAGGCTGATAGCAAGTAACGTTCAGGCAATGACACTGTTTGCAATTGGATGAATTAATAAATACAGAGCTGCATTCATCTGCGTCTTTTATATCTGCCCGGAGTTCAGGTTTAAGGATTCCATGTTGGGAGCGGCAGTAGGACCTCACCACACCAATGTGCCTAACACTCTGCTTGCCTCTGACCACAGACCTCTATCTGCAAGTAGATGGCAAGCAGGGCCGTCCCCACCCTATATGCTGCCTGAGGCAATAGAAGGAGGGGTCGGGTGTGATGGGTGCTGCTGCTCGTGCTGGGGGGATGCGGAAGGAGGGGCAGCTGTGTTACCTCAGGCAGAGTGCCGTGCTGTCAGCTGCTCTCTGTCTGGTCCCGCCCAGCTCGGTGATGTCACTGGTTGCCAGGAGCTTGGCGGGACACCATCCAGAGCATCCCGCTCAGCTCCCTGGCAACCGATGATGTCAGTGAGCTGGACAGGAAACCGGACAGAGCGCCACAGGTTGCTAAGAGCTCTTGGCAACCTGGGATGCTGTGGCCGCCCCCCTAGGTATATGAACTCAAACATACGTTTCAGTGCAGCATTTTACAACAACAACAAAAATGAATTCATGATTAACTGTCATTGCTTTCATAATCAAAAACAGACAGAACTGGAGGGAGTTCTACTTTAAGAAGAGAAAACTCCATAGGACAGGCTTCACACCGCGGCATGCATTTTATGAATGGGCCAATTAAAAGGAATGCATGTGGATTATCACTGCAGGCTATAGCAGAGAGCAGATAGCGCTATCTGCTGTCCGCTATAAATGGGCCCCCAAGAGACCCTAAAGCAGAACTGCAGCCAAGCACGTGTGTGTGTACTATATTGCCAAAGTATTGGGACGCCTTTACACGCACATGAACTTTAATGGCATCCCAGACTTTTCTGTAGGGTTCAGTATTGAGTTGGCTCCGCCCTTTGCAGCTTTAATGGCTTCATCTCTTCTAGGAAGGCGTCCACAAGGTTTAGGAGTGTGTCTATGGGAATGTTGGACCATTTGTGAGGTCAGGTACTGATGTTGGAGGAGAAGGCCGGGCTCGCAGTCTCCGCTCTAATTCATCCCAAAGGGGTTCTATCGGGTTGAGGTCAGGACTCTGTGCGTCCAGTCAAGTTCCTCCCCCCCAAACTCCCCCATCTATGTCTTTGTGGACCTTGCTTTGTGCACTGGTGCGCAGTCATGTTGGAACAGGAAGGGGTCATCCCCGAACTGTTCCCACAAAGTTGGGAGCATGAAATTGTCCAAAATGTCTTGGTGTGCTGATGTCTTAAGAGTTCCCTTCACTGGATCTAAGGGGCCAAGCCCAACCCCTGAAAAACAACCCCACACCATAATCTCCCCTCCACCAAACTTTACACTTGGCACAATGCAGTCAGGCAAGTACCGTTCTCCTGGCTACCGCCAAACCCAGACACATCCATCGGATTGCCAGACAGAGAAGCGTGATTGGTCACTCCAGAGAGCACGTCTCCACTTCTCTAGAGTCCAGTGGCGGCGTGCTTTACACCACGGCATCCGACGCTTTGCATTGCACTTGGTGATGTAAGGCTTGGATGCAGCTGCTCGGCCATGGAAACCCATTCCATGAAGCTCTCTACGCACTGTTGTTGTGCCAATCTGAATGCCGCATGAAGTTTGGAGGTCTGTAGCTATTGACTCTGCAGACATTTGGCGACTTCTGCACACTGTGCGCTTCAGCATGCGCTGACCCCGCTCTGTCATTTTACGTGGCCTACCACTTCGTGGCTGAGTTGCTGTTGTTCCCAGTTGCTTCCACTTTGTTGTAATACCGCTAACAGGTGACCGCGGAATGTTTAGTAGCAAGGAAATTTCATGGAATACCTGAATCCAATGATTTGGAGGGGTGTCCCAATACTTTTGGCAATATAGTGTGTGTATATATCTGAACTGTCTGATCTGCCAATTTCTACCGTTATACAGTCAGAATGGGGCACCCTACTGAAGTGCTGCTGCTGCCTGTGTCACTTGGCTCCCTCCAACCTTGCTCACTTGTTTCAGGTTAGCACCTAGGATCAGAATGACATCCAAGCAGCTGGCCTTTATAGAAAGACGTCAGCGGAGGGAGCCTGCATATGTAACTTATGACAGGTGCACTTTATGGTCTGCGTAGAACATTCAGCATAGTACTTTTTTTTTTCATACTTACTTGCAGTACTCATATCCGTTTTTGTAGGCCCTAGTAATTTCTTCCATAGTCGCCAGTCGGCTGTGGTGCATGGCACAGACGGCTTTGGCCTGGAAATAATCCCCAGTGATGTTGCTCGGCATGAATACTCCAGACATAACTGCAAGACAGATATGAAGAAATGATGAAGCCACCGACAGGGTCCCAGTCACCTGCTATTAGGGCCGGCTCACACTTACCCGTCTACATTCTACTGCACGAACAAGCATACGTATAGCAATCTCATTCATTGCTATGGGCTTCATTTATAAAACTTCCGCACGGCGTATGCTGTTCACACGGCGCTAGCTCCCCTAGATGGTGCTACAGAGTATAAGGATTTCCTATACTTATGAGCGCCATTTTATCTTTGCACCCCATGTGTCTAGTTCAGTATTTGTCACCCTTTTTTTTAGTCATGGAACCCTTTAAAAGTGTGCAAAGTCTCAAGGCACACCAGTCTAAAATATCATGGATCTTAGAGGGGGTGGGGGGGTCCATGCAAAAAAAGCACCCAAAAAGTGGGTTTCCTCCTTTACATCAAAGTGCCCCCTTCAAATCGAGATCCCCCCACTTCACATCAGAGTCACCCTTTGCATCAGTAGCCCCCTCCCCCTTTTCACATCAGAAGCCCCACATTCATATCAGAGTCACCCCCTTTCACATCAGAAGCCCCACTTTCATATCAGAGTCACCCCCTTTCACATCAGAAGCCTCACTTTCATATCAGAGTCACCCCCTTTCACATCAGAAGCCCCACATTCATATCAGTCACCCCCTTTCACATCAGAAACCCCACATTCATATCAGAGTCCCCCCTTGCATCAGATGACCAAGCTGTTGCTTATGACCTGAATATATTATTTCGGCTTGGTTTAGGATACAGAGAACATCTATGGAAGAGAATATAAGTCTTTGTTACCTGGTATGTCTTGTGCAGAACATATTCCAAGCAGGGCAAGAAGGATAGAGAGACGCAAAGTTTGCTGAAGCATATTGTCCGTGTCCTTCCACGCTTAGGTGTGCGATAAGAGAGGAAGGGAGCCGTACCTGTGTCTATGGTGGGAGGGGTGGAGGACGGGCAGTGTAAGACACTCACCTGGAGCTAGGTGTGAGCGATGGAACATGACGCAGGTATGAAGCTGCACCTCAGTGCGTCATCCCCCTCCCATTCCTCAGAAGTCATCACACTCAACATTATCCAGAGTTACTCCTTGCACAGACACTACCCTCGTCTTTCCTCCGAATTCACTTTCCTATCAACGTCAATTCACTGATTAATACCGAGGATACAAAATGTTACTTCTTATAGGTAATCGCAGTTCATTAGAGTTACAGAAGTGAAAATGTTTTTGTTACTCTGAAAAGATAAGTGACCTCAGCCCTTCTTCTACGCTCGACGAACGCTCTACAAAACGCTCAAACATGAAAATCCCATTGTTTTCAATAGGTCTGGTTCACACCTTGGCGTATTTCAGCCCGTCCCTAACACGCTACGGCCCACGCCTGAAAAGGTACATGTACTACTTTGGGCCGTTTTTGTTGCGCGTTTCCATTGGGATACAGCCAATTAGCCCTTGGAAACGCGCGTTTGTTGCGCATTTTTTTTACCGCGAATCGCGGTAAAAAACGCGCGACAGACGCTCATATACAATACGCCTAGGTGTGAACCAGGCCTAATGGTGTGACATTATTAAGCCCCAAATAGGGTTTCCACTTTACCAGAGTCACGGAGAAGTGACATCTCTGCCGCCCAAATATAAGTGACATCACTACCCTCCAAATATGTTATATCTTACAAAAGCGACATCACCAGCCTCTATAGACACAAGTTATAATTTACAATAATGACATCACTACTCTCCATATATAAGCGACATTTTACAGAAGTGACATCACCACCGTTCAAATAGAATGTATTTGATAAAAGAGTTACATCACTATCCTCCAAATATGTTTTAGTATATACGGGTGAAATGAATTCCCTCCAAAAATGTTATACAGGGGTGACATCTCTACCCTCTAAATATGTTATTCTATATATGGGTTACATCAGTATCTTCCAAATATGTTTTATTATAAAGGGTTCACATCAATACCCTACAAATACATTGGGGGGGATTTATCAAAACTGGAGCAGACAGAAACTGGAGCAGTTGCCCAGAGAAACCAATCAGCATCTCTGTTCAGTTTGCTCAGGTATAATTTGAAAATGAAAGAGAGAAGCTGATTGGTTGTCGTGCAAATCTGCTCCAGATTTTGTCTGCTCCAGTTTTGATAAATTCCCCCATTTATATTATATAGGGGTAACATAAATATCCTCCAAATATTTTATATTATATAGGGGTGACATCAATATCCTCCAAATATGTTATATAGGGGTGACCTTAATACCCTCATGTTATATTATATAGGGGTGACCCTAATACCCTCATGTTATATTATATAGGGGTGACCCTAATACCCTCATGTTATATTATATAGGGGTGACCCTAATACACTAATGTTATATTATATAGGGGTGACCTTAATACCCTCATGTTATATTATATAGGGGTGACCCTAATACACTCATGTTGTATTATATAGGGGTGAACTTAATATCCTCATGTTATATTATATAGGGGTGAACTTAATACCCTCATGTTATATTATATAGGGGTGACCTTAATACCCTCATGTTATATTATATAGGGGTGACCTTAATACCCTCATGTTATATTATATAGGGGTGACCTTAATACCCTCATGTTATATTATATAGGGGTGACCTTAATACCCTCATGTTATATTATATAGGGGTGACCTTAATACCCTCATGTTATATTATATAGGGGTGACCTTAATACCCTCATGTTATATTATATAGGGGTGACCTTAATACCCTCATGTTATATTATATAGGGGTGACCTTAATACCCTCATGTTATATTATATAGGGGTGACCTTAATACCCTCATGTTATATTATATAGGGGTGACCTTAATACCCTCATGTTATATTATATAGGGGTGACCTTAATACCCTCATGTTATATTATATAGGGGTGACCTTAATACCCTCATGTTATATTATATAGGGGTGACCTTAATACCCTCATGTTATATTATATAGGGGTGACCTTAATACCCTCATGTTATATTATATAGGGGTGACCTTAATACCCTCATGTTATATTATATAGGGGTGACCTTAATACCCTCATGTTATATTATATAGGGGTGACCCTAATACACTCATGTTGTATTATATAGGGGTTACATCAATACCTTCCAGATATGTTATATTATATTGGGGTGATATCTATTAAATGTTACATCTCAAATTAAAAAATGATACTTTAAATAAATGACATTATTACCCCAAATAAGGTTTACATCATATTTTATAAGAATGACATGGCCACTCTCCAGTTGCCTAAATACAAACCTAGAATAATATACACGGGTGACATCACCAGAGAGAAATAACTATATTTAGGTGTTGTACATTTATTTACCAATATACATCTGAAATGAGTAAGTCGTAGGAGTGTGACGAATTGCCTTTGTCCCGGGTGACCTGCGTACTTTGTAAACCATCAGCACTCCTGCTGACTTATAGAGCGGTTTAAAAACGTTGCAGCGAGAGTCTGACAAGTCACATTCCTTCTCGGCCAACACCCCAATTCACATAGATTTCACAAAGCACTCCGGCCCATAGGCACAGCCTCAGAATTCCTTCCAAGCCTGCTACACCAGAGGCACCGAGGACATAGAGCTCACAATAGGGAATGTGGAAGGACCTGTTTAGGTATTAGTGTATCACCTGCCTCTGACTATCATGCAAGGTTATGATTGCTGTATAGATACTACTACAGGCCCTATATCTGAAGGGACATTTTTTTTAGGATTAATATTCCTTTAGGGATATCAAAGTCAATTTTTTTTTACGTTATCTCAAATGCTGATGAAATCACTTACAATGGACTTCATGTTTAAAAGTTTTAGTGCCCTGCAGAATCAGCTGGTCCCCTGAGCACTGGTCCTGATAGCCTCTTTAAGGGTGGCTCCTTTCCCTTACAGGGTCCTATGAAGCCACCTTTGTGTGTGTGTCTGTTAGAATACACATTACTGTGTTTATAGCAATAACTCCTGCAGTATTCATTTTCGGTCACTAGATGGCAGTGTTCCGTTATATCCTCTGTCGTAGTGAATAAGGTAGAAAATAAAGCTGTGGCTTGTCTGTGAAGGTTCTCATTCATCCAGGTCATGGTATATCTGAGAAAAAAAATAAGTCAAGGCAACTGGACTTGCTGTGTTTTTCTTGAAGACGTTTCACTGGACATCCGACCAGCTTTCTCAATTCAGAAATTATTTCTGAATTGAGAAAGCTGGTCGGATGACCAGTGAAACGTCTTCAAGAAAAACACAGCAAGTCCAGTTGCCTTGACTTATTGTTTACAGATAAAGCTGTGGCTTCCTTCCTGTTTTAGCCAAGCCATGTGCAGCATGCATATCAGACTGTGTGCTTGTGTTTCTCTGTGAGGATGTGCAAGAAGTTCCAACA